GCTGAAGGAGCAGCCATGCCCCTGTGGGCAGGGAAGTGTTGAGGGGAAGATGGGAAAGATTTTCGAGAGTATGGAGGTAGCAGAACTAGAATCCAGGAATTTTAAGACGGGAAAAAAAAAATTAGAAAGAACAACATGGAAAGCTGGCCATTGTCCGACTGCATCCCCCTACCCCCGCCCCACCTCCTTGTCCATCTTTGCTGATCAGCGGTGACATTAGCACAACGAGGCTGTTCTGATCTCTGATGGCCCTGTCTGCCCACCTCCCGACTGAATCATTCTACTTGTCCTCCCGGGATCATAGATGTTTGACTGTTACTGACTCTTGTCAACCTTATCCATGTGAACCCGGGAAACGCGAAGACAGAGAAGGGAGGGTTGTTACTTTCAGGACTGCCTATTTGCTATTGATATTAGATTCATACTTAATAGCAGTGATTAAGATTCATTATTTGTATTCACATCATGCTTGGGTTTGGAAGGCCATTTTACTTAATTTACTTGTTGAAAGTAACTCAGAGCATAAGAGAAAGTCCAATGCTTGCTTGGTGCTCAGGAAAATACTCTGGTTGGGTTACCCAGAGGTAATTTAATTATTCCCTAAATCAGGACAGTTTCATTACTCATGACCTGAGGCTGGGTTGCTGAGCACAAGCATGTGCAGGAATCTTTGGCTTGGTTTTCACCTCTTGTGGCCAGAACGGAGATGGTTCCTTCAGCTGTGGGCCGAGGCTGCTGGGCGCCCTAGTGCAGTCAGAGGGAGGTCCAGAGCCCATCTCTCCCACTGAAGGGCGCGTTCACCGAGACAGCGCATCTGGGCTCCGGCGCCTGGTTCAGGGCCCGGGCGGAGACCAGGGCCAGTCGTTTCCTGGACGCTCACCCTGAGTCAGCGTGGTCGTGTGCTGTGCTGATTACTATGGAGCAGGCCGGTGCAGAGGGCGGGCAGAGGCTGGTGGCCGAGCGTGCGAGCTTAATTAGCAAACCCACTGATGGTGATTCTGTGTATGTTCACAACAGTTTCTTCAAAAAAAAAAAACACAACCAAAAAACCAGCTTTATGAGGTATACTTTATGTATCATAAAATTCACCCATTTCAGCTATACAAGCAGTGATTTCTAGCGGTAGCTTTACCAGCGGTGCAGCCATCACTGCAAATCAGTTTGGGGACATTTTCTTCCCCCCAGTTAGGTCCCTCTTGTCCTCTCACGATTAATCCCCCATTCCCAGCCCCAGCCCCAGGCAACCGCTAATCTACTTTCTGGCTCTTTTGTAATAATTTAGCTAATTATTTTCTGATTAGAAAAGTAATAGTTTCTTATTTTAGATCATCTGAGGAACTCCAGGAAGAGAAGTGGACCAGAAGGAAGGCCAGCATCCCCTTAGTGGGACTCTCTTCTGGCTTTTCTTTTTAACTCTTATCTTCCACTGCTCCCACTGCTCCGCTGGCTGGTGTGGTCCCACTTCTCCACTGTTCTGTTGCCTGGATATGTTCTACCCCGTCTTGGAAGCAAGAATTCTTCCTATCTTTGGAGGTCTATCTCACATAACCCCCAATTAGCAAAGATTTCCCTGCTGTCCAGACTGAAAATAATTTTCTCTTCTCGGAAATTCCATGGTGTTTTATTTATGGCTCATAGAGTTTCCACTTGGCAGTTTATTTACTTAAATAAGTGCTTTATATTCCCTGTTAAACAGTGAGTTGGTGAGGACTGGCGCTCTGTCTGATGCCTCTTTGTCTCCTACACTCTTGGTACCCTCCAGCTTTATGTCCTGTCGCCCCCTAAGGGCCCCGTGCGTCTCCTTTGTGGCAGTCTTCACAGCTGTGATGGCTGTTTAATGTCATGCTCACCCTGTCCCGTATCCAGGATGAAGGCACGCTAGTCCAGTGTGTTTGGATGCCCTAGATCTTCACTCTTGTTTGCTTGAATGTTTTACTCTGGATACCATAGCTTAGTTTACTTCTTCTTACCTAATGCCTGTCATCAGTTCCTGTTTGAATTAAATAGCGAATAGTCTTAAAATAGATGTGTAAACCAAGTTCTGGGTGAGGTTCTGTTCCCCGCTGCAGAGAACCTTGTTTTTGTCACTCACTCATGCATACACTCACACTAAATACACGTCTCATTAAAAACATGCTAGAGTTCTTCCTAGAAATATGACTTTCATCTGCAAGCACCTTCCTCCGTTTCCCCCGAGCCCACGTGTGTGTCTGAGCTGTTCTGGTGCCTTCAGCTCGGCTGCCCACCCTGAGCGGCGCTGACCTGCCCCTTCAGGTCATCCCTGCTGCCCCCGTTCTCGCGCCTTCTCCAAGATGGCACCACCTTGGCTTCTGTCTGGGCAGCGTTCAGGACTGAATTGACCTGAGCCTCTGACCCCAGCCATGGCTCTGGGATCTTGTGGGACGAATGGATGGGGTCTCGAGGCTCAGGAGCTGGGACAGTCACCTTCCGCCCAAGCCCAAGTCAGCCCGCCTGACTGCTCAGAGCTGCAGCCACTGTTTCTTCCATCTGTGCAGAGTAGAACATGCTACGTGTGGTATGTCTTAGGCTTTCTGTGTAATTCTTGGTGTGTATGTATTTATCTTCCTCTGACACAGCAAGCATCGTGTTTATCTTTGCAGCCAACTTTACTGCTGTCTGTAAAACAGGCGCTCAGTAAATATATGATGAATAAATTAATGAATTCACATATTTGTTAGATGATGTTTAAAGATTTAAAGCTACTAATGTATCTTTGGATCCTGTCACTTATGTATTAGGTGCTCAGAAATACACTTAAGTAAACTGACTCATTCAGCCAGTGTTTATCGAGCGTCTGCTGTGGGCCAGGCTCTGTCCTGAGTTCTCCGGAGAATACAAAAACTTGACGTGACCCCTTAGGATTTACAGTGTAAGGCTTAGATGATTGCAGGGCAGAACCTGTCAAGTGCCTTAAGAAATTTTTCAAAAAGAAAACATTGGAGGATTTGGGGAGGGAGAGGTTGCTTCCTGATGAGAGATTGGGGATGTTAATGGAAGAAGTGGCATCTGAGTGAGTCCTGGTGGATGGGAAGGCTTTGAACAGTGGGAACCCGGGAAAGACAGCTCAGGATGGAGCAAATCAAGCATGAGCTTCGACGGGGAGCAGAGGACAGCGCAGACTTCCATTTGGCTGGATGTGGAGGTGGAAAGTGGCAAGTGGCAAGTGAGGTTTGACTGGGAGGGTCCAGATGCGGGAGTGGTTTGGTCTTTAACAGGGACCCAATGCCAGATAAACCCAGCAGGGCTGCTGGGAGGGCTGGGGGGCGGAGGCTAGGGGTTGGTGGCTGGGGGAGCGTGGCCTCTGCCCAGAACAGGACAGTGAGGCCAGCCAAGGGGCAGCCCGGGGACAGAGGCAAGGAGAGGAGGACAGAGCAGGCGGGAGGGGGAGAGGGCACCCGAGGAGGTGACGAGGGACGTCTCAAGAGTGAGCAGCCCACGGGAGCAGGGCGGCTGTGGGCGGCCTCAGGGGCCTCGCAGAGGGTGGAATGCGGTGGGGATCGTCCTCCCTCGTGCTCACAGCCTCGTGCTCGCTCCCCGGGCTTATCCACCTGCACAGCCTTGTATTTGTCTCTGTTCCTTCCAGTCAGCCACAGGCCCTGGCCTTAAACTCAGCTCTTCAGTATTTTAAAATTTAACTCTCAAGGCTAATCCTGGCACGTCATAGCTGATAATGCTGTGCCTCAGGACAGCCAGGAGTGTGACAAACGTTGATTTGCATCAGCCTAGGACAGAAGTTACCCCAAACAGGCGTTTCTGGAATGACAGTCATTAACTGACCATTTATTTGGCAGGACAGGTGGTTGTGCGGGCATTATTACACACCTTCCCAGGACTTTTCAAGTAAATTTCTTCCTCCATTTTGAAATGTAATATGCTGAATAGTGCACAGAAATCAGATCCCGTGTTGCCTTAAAAATTGTACCTGTAGTTAGTCTTCCCACTCAAGGTAATTCTACTAAAAATAAAATTTTCCTTTGCTTGATTGTAAGAAGGAACACATACAGTTCCAAAGTCCTTACTCCTGTCTTTCTCCTTTTATGGTCCCGTAATCTAGGTGCATGTCACCAAAAAGACACACGTACACAAGGCCCCAGCAGTGCCAAGCGGCACTCTTGCTGACTTAGGGAGTGGTCTGGGCCTGGGGGATGGGAAAGTAAATCTCAGCTTATTTTCTTGATGGGGAGGGACTCTCAGTGGGTCGGGTGGGAACCCGGGGAGTCTTTAAGTTGGCTCCAATCTGAACGGCCAGCGGGGACAGACTTGCTTGGGTGCGTGTGTGTGCTCCCGAAGGAGTCAGGAGGGTTTGATTCTCTTCCATTTAATCCTTGGTGACAACTTGTTAAGCCAGTCTCTTGCCTTCTTGCTTCAGGGAGAAGAACAGGGGACCTCAGGGGCCCTTGTCTCGCCTTTTCTCGTTTATCTGCCCCCACCCCCAACCAAAGACACGCACTTGGTTCTTCCCTTGTTCTCTCTTAACATTCACTCGTACACATTCTCAGGAGACAGAAGCCGCCTTCGTTCTGTTTTCCCTTTTAGTTTCCCCCCTGGGGGCTGTGCTAAGAGATGGGGGTCTGTGGGCCCCGAAACCGGCCGAAGCACAGCCCCCGGGCATCGGACGGAGCCATGAGTGAGAGTAGGAAGCGGGTGTGGCCTCCTGTTCCCGTATCTTTAAAGTGTCTTCATTGATTGTTTTGAAATATTTTGTCTTCATTGTAATGATTATGTTTCCACAGACTCTGTAGCTCACAGTCGAAGGTTATCATTATTGTGAAATACAGACTTTTCCTTAGTTGTATCTTCATTTGTGAGGTGAAATCATGACAGAGAATGTGGGAATGAATGAGCTGTCATACTTGGGCTGGTCGGCTTTTAAGGGAAGTTTAATTATCACCAAGTGTTCTCTAATCTCCTTGCTATCCTCACTTGAGATTACAAAGGAAATTGAGTAAGAATTTCTTTTTTCTGTTTTTGTCTTTTAGATTCAGAATATGAACAACATAATCTCCTTCCCTCTGGACAGTTTGCTGAAGGGGGACCTGAAAGGAGTGAAAGGGGTATGACATTAAAAGTCCTGCTCAGCGAGGGGCAGCATTCGCAGAACGTGGCATCAGGGTCATGCTGGCCCGTCCGGGCAGCCGCCGCCTGGCGCCTTCTTCCTGGGGGTGTTCTGCCTCTGTCTCCTTGACTGGCCATCTTGCACCACCTTTCAGCCCTAACAGTGGAGACTGTGGCCCTTCTGGTTGTCCTGCTGGTGCTCTGAGTGTGGGATGGGGAGGAGGCCATGAAGGGAGAGAAACAGCTCTTTTGGAAACTGTAACATTTTGGCCTCTGCCAGTTAAGCAGGGAAACATATGGAGAGAAGTCTGGTGTTCATCCAGCGTGTCCCTGACGGACCACTCAGGGAGGATCCTTGCGAGGATGCAGGTTCCCCGTGGGGGAATCTGCACCAGTAACGCACCTGTCCTCCGGCATGTCCCTGACGGACCACTAGGGGAGGCTCCTCGGCTCCTCGCGAGGATGCAGCTCCCGGTGGAACTAGTAAGGCCCCGTCCTCCACTGGGCTCTGGCTGTTGAGGCTTCGCCCTGCTCGCACAGACACGTGAGCCATGAGCTGTTTCCTGAGCGTGTGAGTGCGGGACAGTCCGGGCTCGAGCCTGTGTGGGTGCCGGGTGCTGAGCAGTGGGGCACTTGTGTGCGTCACTTCCACAAGCAGACGTGCGAGGTGACGGGGAGATGACTGTGCCCCAGTTCCTAGAGACCGAGTTCTTTGATTGGAGCGACATGTGATCCCTGGTCGCATTTGGCACGTCTGGAAGCCCATCCTGGCGGATGCCGGGGGCTCTGCAGAGAGACCCCTCAGTCTCTCCTTCACAGACTGTGCCGGGGGAGCTGTTGGGGCGGGGAAGGTGGGGCCCGGTGAGCCGTTAGGCCACCGGGGAACGTTACTCACCATCCCCTTGGGGCCCAGAGAACATGCCAGATGAGTTAGCCAGAAAAGCAGGAGGGAAGGGCACACGAGACAGAGGGAGGTTATGCACGTATGCAGAAGCGTGACGCA